TTTTTTTTTTTTTTTTTTTTTTTTTTTTTTTTTTTTTTTTTTTTTTTTTTTTTTTTTTTTTTTTTTTTGAGAGAGAGAGGAAACACACCTCTCGTTGATGTAGTGAAAAGTTAAATGCAAGTTATAATTGCCTAGCATGAACTTATAGAAAATACTCCCCCAATTAGATAATCTTATAAATTTAATTACAATAAGGTAAGTAAACATTGACATATTCTCTGTTGCACATTATGCAATATTTTCTTTTTTTGATAAGACATTATGACCCTATTTTCATGGCTTACAACTTAATGTTTTTACATGCATCTTCTCAATTTTAAAAAGCGTGAAACAAAGAAGAAGAGAAAGAGATATGATTGATATGTTCGAGAGAATTGAATTCAACCTCATAAATTCATAACAAAACAAGAAAAAGAAAAACATGACCATTATAAAAAAGTAGAATCTGAAACAAGGTATAATGCTTGCAAAATAGCATCTACTTGAGTCATAAGATTGCAGCATTTAGTGGCAATAAGATCTACTGTCCTTGTCTCCATTTCAGATCGCATATACAATGTGAATGTGGTAATATAATTATGACTTGCCTTCAAAAAATCAAAAGCAACATTTAAGAAGTGATCGATTATGGAGTTATTCAGCCTGATTCTTTGCAATTTTTGCAGAGTCCAGTCTTCCCCAACTAAATATAAGGAATTGAGGAAAGGCTGTGATATATAGCTCAGAGCATAGAAGTCGGAAGTACTTTCAAATGGTTGAGAGAAGGTTGAAATAAAGTGGTAGAATAGCATGATATTCGAACCAAGACACATCTTAACTTGAAAGCCTAATATAAAACAATTATTTTCCATCCAAAACAAATTAGTTGTCCATGTATAATTAGCATCCTTAATTGAAGAAAAATATGTAATTTCAAGATAAAAGAGTATTAAGAAATCATTGAAACGGTTCAAGTCAATCATAACCCTACACTTTTAGCACGGAGAAGTTAGGGTAAAATTTGACCAAATTATTCAAACCAGGATTGCCGCAATGTAACACAAGTATAATTCAAAATCAAAAGCCAAGAAAATTAGCCCTAATCACAAGTTACGCCTTCCACTCAAGCCCTGGTCTAATACTGTTTGAACAACCAACTTACGCTCATCACACTAAATATGTAAGAATCAAGACCAGTTAAAGAAGCAAGATAAATTTGAAGTTAAGAAACAATAGAAAAGAAACCATTCTCCTAGGTAATTGAGCTAACATATCCATCAATCAAAATGACGTTGAAGTTCAGCAAGGGAAGCTACACAATTAAACAGCAGAAAACGCTAATATAGAGTGATACCGGAAAAATGGATACACAGACTAAAGCCTATTCAAGGAAGACAAAAGTGAAAAGGGAGGTGACCTTCTCGAGTTCGTCTTGAACCTCCTGTAACTTCTCGATATAATGGACGAGCTCGACGTCAACGTGGTCAGCTTCGTCGTCCTCGACTTTGTCGGCAGGCTTGGATTTTTTACCCTTTTCGGCGACCATTTTAGAGGCGGAAACCTAGTTTCGTGAGGAGTACACCCGAATTTGAAGAGAAACGACGAAAGAAAGAAGGAAAAACAGAGAGAATGAGAGAGAATATGTTGGTGGCCAAAGAAAAAAAAAATCTGAAATCGGCCAATGAAGTGATAGTTTCAGATTGAAGACTGTTGCTCTGTATTTATATGAAGGTACGAGGGACGACTCTCTTTAGTTTTCCCTCGTATATTCTCCTCATCCTTTTATTTTGTTTTTTTTAAGCTTTTTTCCATTTTTTTTTTCGTTTTAATTTATATTTCGATATTTTTATTGATAGATTGTTAGATGGTTTTTTTTTTAATATTTTTTAAAAAAATCTTATTTAATAACTAAATTCTCATCTCTCAAGTTAAACATCGATTACAAAAGTTAAAATAACTTTATTGTTGGATTGGTCGGGTGGGTTAGCCCAACCCAAACAAAAAGAAAATTTAATACAATTCAATTTTTATGGTTTGAGTTTAATAGTTCGAGTCGAGTCAAACTAGAATAATATGGTGTGAAAATTGTGGCGGACTCATTCTGGGCCGCGACTCTTCTCGACTTGGATCCATTATGGGCTCAACAAAAGCTTGAGCCCACCATGAGAACTCACCAAGTTTCATATGCAACTCAGCTGAAACAGTTCCATTATCTCGCAGAAACTCCACAATTTTCATGAAAACCTTTGATTTCAACACAAAAGATCCCTCATTTTACCTTAATCTTCTTCTTCTCCATTTGATTCCAAGTAGAATGTCGAAATGCTTAGCTCGTGTTCTTCACCGCGACGTTCTACTACCGACTTTCTTCTAATATCAAAGCCAGCTCCAAACTTTGCCCTCATCTCTTTACCTTTAAAATAACGTTGTCTCCTGCGTTGTACTCATCCAATAACTTGTATAATTCTGCTTTGTTTCTTACCTGTAAACAGATGCAAAATCTTATATCCTTAACAAGCCATAATTTCTTAAATACAACGTTTTCTCGAACAGAAATGAGGGGCTCACTGGCTTATCATCGATGGCAACAACGATATCCTCGAGTACTAAATTACCTGCAAAACCTCTAGTGGTGGGCAACAGTCCGGCTTTGGCTGCAGGACTATTTGCAGGAACCTATCGAGCAAAAGCCATAAATAAAAAGACTAGATTGAATAACTTGATGAAGAAGAAATTAGTCTGGAGAGAGTCTACCTGCAGAATCAGAGCTCCATCACGAACATTGAGTTGATTCGCGATCAGGTCGGGAGCAAAATCTAGATTTGTGCCAGCCTGCACGACCTGTATGAAAACCCAGAATCTTAGTCATGAATGGTTAATACCCTATAACGAAAAGGTTTTAAAGTCTAAGAACTTATTAGACACAAAATATGAGTTTAAACTTCAAGTTCCATCCTTAATCTTACACCATAATTGACCCAAAATCAAGATTACTCACTCTACCCAATTGGATCAACTGAGATACAATCTTGACTACGGTTGCAGATGGGATTGCAAAACCAACACCAGCTGATGTTCCTGCAATCATGATAGTGTAGAGTAATGTTAATCACATTCTGAATGTTATCGTTGAAGCGCAGGACGAGGTAATGTGAAATCACAACAGCTACCCTGTTGTTACAGACGCAACCGAGTGTTATAATTATTGAATTGGCACTTGGCAGGAGAAAGATGGACGTTACCTGTTTGAGTGAAAATAGCGGTATTAATACCGATTAAATAGCCTTTCGAATCAAGTAGAGGACCTCCACTGTCAAAGATACAGGAAAAGGATTTCTCCTTGATGTTAACATCAAATATATATGGTGATAAAGACAAGATTTCCCTGAAGAAAGAATGAATGTGGTGGTATTCATTTTAGGATGAATCTTAGTCTAACCTATTCCCGGGATTGATAGCTGCATCCGTTTGGATTCCACCTCCGATGGTGACACCAGTCTGACTAAAAATGTCGCGATTTAATCCACCAATGACTCCAACTGTGAGAGTATGATTGAAACCAAAAGGATTTCCAATTGCCAAGCACTGTTGCCCCACTTTAAGAGAAGATGACTGCCCCACCTTGATTGGCCTCAAAAAATTGTTCGAGGTATCCACCTGCAAGGTCGCTGAGATTATCTTAGATATGATTAGAATCAGTGATATTTTGATGGTTCTCTGGAATAACAATGGTAATCATGCATGCTTGATCATCAAATTCTTGCATAAACTAGAAAGTAGAGGAATTTAAAGATGAAAAGCCTTACCTTTAAAACCGCAAGATCCTTCGTGCGATCTGCACCAACGAGCTTGCCTTCAAAATTCTTTTGTATCCTATGCAAAGATTTAGAAAATTGAGGAAACAGATAGATGTTGCTTATCACAGTAGTACATTGGTCTAACTTCAAGCGTCCTCACCCATCGGATGCTAGGATATTAACTTGTGCAACAACCTGCCCAGCACTCGGATTTCTTGCAAGGGCACTAGCAATTACTGTTCATAAGTTGAATACGAGGCTTGGCATTAGAAATGTCATATTTTGGTAAAACTACATTGCAGAATTCAGATGATCCTCTCTGAAGCTATTCAATGTACAGTTGTTTCTAGTCGGATATGGTGACCATTTTACTCGGGCGCTAAAAGCACTCACCATGATAATTTGTTACTATATGTCCCTGATCATCCCAGACTACTCCAGACCCATTCCCTTCAGAAATCTGCAAATAGGCATGGTAATGAATACAAAATGATGATCTTCCATGAAGGTTATCAAAATAGGAACACAATAAACAGCTTGGGATATGCAATTCGTAACGTGTCAAAGTGGCTAGAACAACATGAACCACGGTTTTATAGCTGATTACCTCAACCATTCCAGTTACATTGAGTTGAGGACGCAAAGTCGCATCGAAAATGTTGACAACAGAGTATGTATTTTTCTCAAACGATTCGACAACTCTATCCTGTCAACCGCATATTTCTCGTTCATACATCATGATAAATAATAACAACGCAACGAAGATCCAAAACAAATCAATTAGGAAGAAAGCATAAATAAGCATGTATTGAAGAGAAAAACACCTCTGTACGGAAAAAGGCTCCGGAAGGTGAAAAAGTGGGGGTTACTTCATCTATGCTTATAGAAGGATCGCCCAAAGCTTGAGCTGTAAATACACTACACAACTTGGTTATAGATAAGTGATTTTCTCTTAAGCGTGAGAAAGTATGAACATGTAACGGTCCAAACCCACCGCTAGTAGATATTATCTTTTTTGGACTTTCCCTTTCGGGTTTCCCCTCAAGTTTTTTTAAAATGGGTCTGGGGGAGGTTTCAAACCCTTATAAAGAATGTTTTGTTCTTCTCCCCAATCCCCAATAGACTAATAGACGTGGGATCTCACATAACATATATAAAGCTATAAAAGCTACTTAGTGTAAATTAACAATTATGCTTCTTAGAACCCTCCGAGCAGAATTTGCACATTTGAAGTTAACCACAACATTTCATTTTGCATGCAAAAATGATAAATGTTAGCGTCGATCATCCACGACAACACAACAGGTTGAGACCTGTGTAGAAGAACCAAATGCAAGTTTATTGTGCTGAGATCATAAAGTAGTCAAACCTAGAAGGATAAGGCCACAAACTCAGAAACAAACTAGCAAATAACCTCCGCCGAGTTGTGAAAAGAAATTTGCTGCTCATTATAGAACAAAGATCTCCAGGGTCATCACCAGCATTCCTGAATAATCAGCTACACTAATTACACACTTCACACAAAGTCCAAAACCAAGATTAACAAAACTCAGAACACCTAAATGCATATCAATGGGTACACGATGAACAAAGATTTTGGGCAGACGATGCAGTAGCACAGAGTAAAAAGGAGAGAAAAAACAACCTTAGGATGGAAATGGATTGGGAATTGCTGGGATTTGAAGGACACCATACAGACGACACACCATCAAAGAACAGTTCTCGTCTTCCCAAGAAATGGGTCGAAGTCCAAACACGAGATTCTACCATCATTCGCAGTTGCTGAACATTGTATGCCAGAGCTTGCATTTCTAACAGATTAAAGAGCAAATGGGTATGGATTTTAGCGATAATAGATGCAGATGAAGGGGGTTTTTGAGATACACTGAGTATATTCTTTATATTTCTTCTTCGTCCATGGAAGCCATGGAACTGTGAAGCTTAGATGCTCCATAACCTACCACCAAAGCTCAACCAATTCGTCAAGAACGGTACCTTGTTATCACAAAAGCTTCATCCAAATTTACTTCATTCCAAATCTATACAAGCATTTAGGCAAATGTGCACTGGTTTAATTAAACCCTGTTGCCATTTTGCTTCGAATCCACCATGCACTCCTTTCTCTTCGTTATGTTTTGTTCTCTCTCTCTCTCTCTCTCTCTCTCTCTCTCTCTCTCTCTCTCTAATTACCCCTACAATCTCAACCGTCAATTTGAAACGTACATCGTCCGTTGGATCTAGGGCTTCAAAAGTTTAAAACTTCACAATATATAAACAACTCCCTCTCCTGGATTACTGCCGCTACTGCCTCGATTTTTCTTAGAGACGCGTAGACACCCGAAATCAAGGTTAATTGAAGATGGTTCAGCGACTTACTTACCGTAAGCGCCACAGCTACGCCACCAAATCCAATCAGCACCGCATTGTCAAGACTCCCGGTACTTTTTTTTGTCCTTCATCAGTGTAATTCCAGCTCTTATGAGCCGTTTTTTCCCTTCAATTTCGTGACCATTTTGGGTATTGTGCTGATGCGTATTAGGTGGAAAGTTGATCTATCAAACCACCAAGAAGAGGGCGAGCGGTCCCAAATGTCCTGTTACCGGGAAGAGAATCCAAGGGGTATGTGTGATTTTATGCCTTTGATTCAAAGTTTTTCAGTTTTTGGGGTGTTTATAATTGCATTGGGGATCGTCATTCTTCCTGAAGCTGACATTGCGTCGCCCTGATAGCTAACTCTCAGTCTCTAGAACATATAGTTGTGGCAATTGGTAGCATTTTTGCAATCAATTCTCAATTCTCATAATGTATTTGTATTATCTTTTTGTTCTAATGTGTTCTTTGAACAGATTCCGCACTTGAGGCCTGCTGAATACAAGAGGTCTAGACTGGCTAGGAACCGAAGAACTGTAAACCGGGCATATGGTGGAGTGTTGTCGGGAAGTGCTGTTAGAGAGAGGTATGTGCTTCATTGAATTAGCCCTGAATTTTTTGGTTTCCTTTGGGTTTTCTACCAAATTTAAGGAGTAATTCAACATTGGATGCAGGATCATGCGGGCTTTTCTGGTAGAAGAGCAGAAGATTGTGAAAAAGGTATTGAAAATCCAAAAGGCAAAGGAAAAGTTAGCTGCCAAGAGTTAAAAACGAGTATTTTGGGTTGAATTTGCGAATTCTAGTGTTGATAGTGGTTAGATGTTTCTGGTTCTTCCTTAAATGGGTCATTGTTGACAAATCAATCCCCCAAGTGTTCTGTTTTGTGATATCATGTAACCTCTACTATGTCACAATTTCAGACCCTTTCTAGAGATTTTTGTATCATTACATTGCTGAATCTAATACCATCTTGCTTGCTCAATCTTATCCACTCTTGATCGATGACTACGGATTTCAGGAAACAATGTTCTTGGGATGTTCTTCAGTATGAACTGGAAATTAACAATCTTGAATTACTACAAGAAAGGCACTAATTAGTTTTTTATTTGTTGATATCATTAATTAGTGGCTTTCTTGTAGATGGCTTAGCCCGAACTTCTTCAAAATTGTTTCTTATTTTCACTAATATAAGAAATGGAAATTGACATGATATTAATAAAAACTATATGGACTCAAAATTATAATTTATTTTACTCAAATAATTATTGTTAAGAATTAGTTACATAATTAATTTTTACAATTTTCATGAAGAAAAAACGACTTCTTTTATCATTTTTAGAATAAATTTAAATGTTAAAAGGATAAAATAATAATTTTCAAAATTTAGAGACATTTTGAAGAATTTAAATGGAATTATAATTTAAGATATAAAGATGTAGAGAAAAAAAAGTTGTTAAAATTTATTGATATTCTTCAAACAATCACCTCAAATAAAAAGCAAAAATTTTAATGTCAAGAATGGGATTCGAACCCATGCCCTTTCGGACCAGTACCTGAAACTGGCGCCTTAGACCAACTCGGCCATCTTGACTGGTTGAAATGAGTTTAATTTTTAACATTAAAATAAGATTAAGTTGTGCGAAGTATTTTGCTTAAAACGATCGATATTCGCAGTATAATTGATATAAACCAAAAGACAAGAAACACAGTAAATAAGATTAGTGAAGGTATCAAATTAGAGACCGACATGATGATATCGGAACATATAACAACGCTCTCATTCGGGGAAATTTAGAGACAATGGCCCTACCTCTATTATATATTCCATGGTGAAAAAGGGTTAAGAAAAAGAAAAAAAGTGCTTCAAACTTCAAAATTCTTATGCCACCATCAATCAACACCCACTTTCCTGATTTGAAGTTGGCATTTGGTTTAGATCCCCACCTCTCCATAGCCTCATTACTCACTTGTTTTGTATTCAAATATCTTATCAAAGATTCTGTGGTTACCAAATGGGAGATCACCATTTTGCTTAAACACTCCCATATGTCCTCATCACCGGTCACTTTAACTTCATTTACTTGTATCAAATCTTATACTCCATCGTATGTTCATATGAATAAAGGAAAGTACCACAGAAACGTCTTTGTTGCTATATTCGACAATTACGTCATTAGGGTTTCGACAATAATGAAAGTTTTAGGTCCTTTGAAGCGAACGGTAATATATCGCCATCAGCTTCACAGTTTTATAACGCGTTTGAGAGGGAGAGATTTCACTTCCTATCAAACGCTTTAAGAGGGGTCGATTGTGTGAAAATCCATGTTGCGAAAATCGGTGAATACAACCCACTATCATTAAGAATTTCATCTTTGGACCAAAAGCAGGCAAGGGGTGGAATACCACAAAGAGAAAGGGTACCTAATAAAAAAGCATTTTTTGTAATTGGCACATGCTTTGTTAAACCCCCCATAAGAACCATATTCTGACTTTTATCTGAAGAATATCCAACAACCGATTCCATTGAGTGAATAATAGACCCAGATCCTAAAAACAACAAAGCTTTTGAATAAGCATGAGTAATCAAATGAAATAAAGCAGCTCGATAAGACCCTATACCCAAAGCTAACATCATATAACCCAATTGAGACATTGTAGAATAGGCTAAACTTCTCTTAATATCTTTTTGAGCAAGAGCTAAAGTAGCTCCAAATAGTAGTGTTATTATACCTATAAAAGCTATTAGATTCATGATGTAAGGTATTACTATAAAAAGCGGAAGAAGCCGAGTGACAAGAAAAATTCCCGCTGTTGGAGAGGGAACGAAGCCCCTAATAAACACGTTTCTGAAACTTGGAGGGAAACTCCAAAGAGAAAAGCCTATCCTAAGCATGAGTGTCTCTTAAAACCAACCAGCATGATTGTAATAGCATAAAGAAAATGTCAATATTAAGTGAGGGGCTGGATTTGACCCTTTTCTTAATCATGAATATGCATGATATAACCTATTATTCTTTGGACCATCTCTTCACATATAGGGTGTTATTAGCTTCCCATCAACCAAAGTCACTTCACTAAAGATTAAAATCAAAATATATGCTTATAACTTAAGTTATCTCCATTCATCTTACAAAATCTATCATATATTTTAGAACAATAATGCATAGTTTGAGCAAATTCAAAGCAAAAATGAAGTGATTGAAGTATTTGGATGTAGCAAACCTAACTAGCAACCCAATTCCATGCAAAACCCATATCAAATATCAAATATCTTGCAAGGGTGGTCAGATATTTGCCTTTGGAATTGACATCTACCCTCTCATTGAAATACAACGTATACCTAAGGTTGGTTCCTCCTAGGTACCTCCAAAACCTCTTAGCCTAACTTTGAGCACTTCACATGGCCCAATTGGCTAACCACTTAAATATCCCTTTTGCTTTTACATACCATCGAACGATGATCGTTAACCATCGTTCGTTCGCTTAATTTTGATTAAATCACGCTCAACCGATAAGATGATGAGCTAAAATCAATAGCATCACCAACAACAAAAAAATGGCAACTACATCCCTTCAATAGTGGGTTTAATTAGCTTTAATCAACTTTTAAGTACATTGTTAAAGAAACTTTCCACTTTAACAACCAACATGATTGAATGTGTGGGCCTTACGCATTGAATCCTTGCTAATATTTGCATACAAATTGTATGTAAATCAAAATATAATCTCTTATGATTCAAGGGTTTTGGAAATTTGATCAAATTTGTACAATTTTTGTGTTGTGATGCCATAAAGATTTTAGGTATATTGCTTCCAAACTCCAAAAAGATTAATACACTCAAAATCACACATAATTCAAAAGAAATATGATGGAAAACATTACACGAACACAACACAAACACACATAATTTTGTTTATTCAGCACCCTCAAAACAAAAACAACCTCGTCGCAGTATCTGCAATCTCTTAAGTTTCGTTCGAGGGAGACGACGAGCAATCACTGACTACCTCCGTTCCAACTTGCCTTCTATGGAAACTCCGGTGACAACCGCAGGCAGCGCAAGTCAGTGCAGAAGTCGTACCTTCGTTGCCGCTTGCCATGAATTCTCGACACCCATCGACGGCGTACCCTCCGACACTGGCAGCGTGGTTCTTTTGGCACTCCCCATATCTAACACTCCTTACTGTGAAAGAGGAAGCCTCAGTGTCTCTCGAGGGTTCTTCTGATCTTCTGAGCACAACTTGACGCTTTCTCATTTTCTCAGTTTCTTTTTAGCTTGATCTTGTTTTACTCCAAGAAAGCTCCAATTTTTGGTAATGGGTTTGAAGAAAAATGAATTGGGAGAGATCACAAATTGAGAGCTTATTGACAGAAGCCCTAACCCCCCAAAGGAGTTGCTTAAATAGAGTGAAAAATAGGCTTTATCACATGTCGTTTTCTCATTTCTTAATTATATATTATAGAGATTAAATCATAATCATTCTCTTATCTTTATTAATCATAACCATTAGTGTAATGTGGAAAAAAAGAAAAAATAAATAAAACTACTTGATTTGGTCAAGAACAGCTGCTTTTAATTGCGAGGAGACATGTTTTTTTCTTTCAAATCTTCTCATTTTTGTTTTTTTTTTTTTCTTTTCAAATTTATTAATTAACAAGAACTATGAACAGAGCCCAGATTTGTTGCTTGCCCAATGGATATCCATTTTCAATTTTGGGGTATATGATTTAGTAAATGAATTGTTTTAGGCGTAAAAGAAATATGCATAGGAAGATGAGAAAGTAGTAAACCCCACCGACCAAACCAATTTTCATGTCATGGCCCCTTGTGTTTCTTAAAGCTTATTAGCTGCTGATACACACATTACCAAGATGTGAAACCACTACAAAAATACCCCTAAAACGAAAATGTTTCCATCTACTCCTACACATCTACATTTCCCAAGATCACATGTGAGACCCCAAATGAAGACTGACATAAACGCTCTTCATCGTATACAACCTTTTGAGATGGGAGTGTGATACCCGAGTAAATGAAAGATACATGAATAAATTAGTTTGGGCCTGATGGGCTATGGGATAAGGGTATTGGGCCATGTTTGTGCTATCTCAGGCCCAATTGTTTATCCAAAGAAATATAAACTTTATTATTGAAAAGGAAAATAAAAAAAATAATATTATGATATTTTTATGATGCGGGAGGATGAAGTGTAAAGGGAGTGGTAAATAAGGCAGATGCCTGAAAATGCTAAAGACAGAGAAGTTAGGTCCACAGCATTTACAAAATGCCCAATTTGTATGCTCCACATAATAATAAAAATAAATAAATAAATAAATAAATAAATAAAAAGTGGGTAAAACATTAATTCCCAATTATTTCCAACACCCAACTTTTTAAATTCAAGTTTGACGAAGGAAGGAAATAAAAAGGGTAACTTTTTTTGTTCATGGTAACTAAAAATTACATTTTTAGGATAATTATTCAAACGACGTCGCTTGGGGCCTATGGTTTTTGTATAAATCTACCCTTCAATAATTTCTTGAATCATTTCCATTAAATTATTCCATAATAATTCAATCTTATTCAACAATAAAATTAACACATTATATTTGAAAAATTATAGAGTATTATACAAAATTTGAAATTATATAGATATTAGGTAGTAGGTCGGTGATAATCTCTCTCCCAATAGAGTCCAATGAAAATAGAGTAACGCCGATTGAAATTAATTTTAATATTTTTAAAAAAAATGATAATTATTAAGGAGTTGAGCTATTTTTTTCAATATAATAGTTGAAATTGACAACTTAAATTATTATTCATAGTTGGCATCTAATAAGTTGTAAGGTTCGAATTTTAAATCATAGATTAAGTGTCCATTTTGCTATAGTGTATGTTATGCGACAGAAAAGACAGCTGAACTAAGTGGCACACACTATATTTACCTAATTAAGCAACACTTTTTTAATTATTGATTATCATAAACTCTTAATTAGCAATTAAGTTCATGGGTTGTGCTCGTTTCGATATCTTTCCTTTTAAAAGGATAGTCGAGTTTTAAGATTTAGTCAACCATATCATAATCACGATTAAATCTAGAAACATTACTCTAATCAGTTTCTTAAAATAATAAAAAGTACAACCAATGATTGAAAATATACAAACCCCATTTAATTAAATTATAATTATGCTTTAATTTCATATGGAATTTGGAAATGTGCAGAAAATCTAAGGTCGAGGCAAGATTCTACTTTCTGCTGCTTTCTCCGAGACAGAAGATAGGGGAAATCTTTTGGTCTGTTTGATGAGACGTTAGATTCATGGAATTTCAACAACAAATTAGATTAGATTAGAGATTAAGGGAAAGAAATTAAGGAATTAAATAAGTAATTAATAAGGATTGATGATTAATGATCTGTTTCTACTCGGGTGCTCATCTCAGTAATTGATACAATTCAACGCTAAGCTCGGAGGAAAAGAAGAAGTAAAAAGGAGTAGAGCTATGTAGGTTGGATTTGGGTATCAGGGGATGATGCAATTTTATTATTAATTACTTGGGAGTAGGGAGTAGTAGAGATCAAGAAGAAGAAGATGACCCATTTGATCCAATATGCATATGCAAGCCGCCGTCTGGTTCGTCTTCATCGTCGTTGTTGTTGATATTGACGACGGCGGTGGCGGCGGCGGTGGTTGTGGTGGGTGGTGTGGGGGTGGTGTCATTGGAATCAGTTTTTTTCCCCATGGTGTTTTTGTTGTTATGCATCCATACTTTAAGAACCCCTCTTTCAACTCCCACTTGATTGCAAAAATTTCGGACCAAACCCTCGTCTCGCTTTTGCATTTTCCATCCCACTTGTTCTGCAAAATGGAGCATTTTTTCCTTCTGTTCGTTGCTGAATTTCGTCCTGAACCGTTTCCGAGCGTTTAAAGTATTCGCGCGTCTGATTTCCGGTGGATGGGCCGACAACCCGGCGGAAAGCGCTAGTAACATGTGCGGCGCTGATGGGTAGTACGACGACGAGATCGGCGGCGGAGATGCCGAATTCGGGCTCCGCGTCCCGGGCGGTGGTGGGTGATGACGATGGTGGGGTTGATACTCGATGACATGAGTGGTTGCTGTATTGATGGGTAAAGTAGAGATCGGATCCTCCGGGTCACGGCGGTGGAAATTCCGGTGGCAGCCGCATGCGGCGCAGTTGAGCGAAGTGGGATCAATGGAAGAGGTAGATGGGGAAGGCATAAATTCCCCACATCCGTCCAACGCGTGAGCTCCTAAACTGGCCGCGTGGTTTTTGAGACATTCTTTGTAAGAAACAAGGAGGGAGGGTTGAGGGGCGTGGTTGTGGCGCTTGAGAAGGCCGTTGGTGAAAGGCAGCGACTTGGCCGAAGACGACGGCGGGAAGCGTGTCGGAGTGTCGGAGTCAGGGTCGGGAGATTTGGTGCTATTAGCCGTAGTTGTAGTAGTGATGGGAGCTGGGGCTAAATCCATGGCTCTTTGAAAAGCACAAACCTCTCTAAACATGGAGAATTAAAGAAGGAGAACTTCAAATAAAAAACAGAGAACATTAAGGTTTCTGTAAAAATTAAGAAACAGAGTAATAAAGCAGAAGAAGGAGAAGAAGAGGAAGGAGGGAATTAGCGAAAGAGTGTTGATTATAGGAATCAGAGTTTTTGTGGATGTGCTTTGTTAACCCACTTCTTCAATTTTAACCATGGTTATAATCTGTGGTTAAGTTGGGTGGACCCACTTGCATGTGTAATAAATATACCTGAATTTAATTTTTGTTAATTTTTTGGTACTGTTGGAAGTTTTTGATATTGCCACCCACTCTCTGTACCTTGCGTAATGACGAAGTTGGTGTTGGGTTTTGGAATATAGAGGGAAATGGGGAGGGTAGATTTGTCTTTGTAAGGTGGGTGGTGGTGGTGGCGGCGGCGTGGATTTAATGAAAGCCAGTATGGATATTAGGAGTGGAAGGGGAGGTATTTATGTCGGCTTCAAAGGAATTTTAGGACGTTGAAGCTTAAATCGGGGGGTTTTGTGTAAAGAAAAACCCACATTTTAATGTTATGCTAAACGACACCACTTTCGGTTTCTCTGTGGACATCTCATAATTCAATGATATGGGTCAGTCTCACGATTTTTAAAGTGCATATGTTAGAGAGAGGTTTCTACATCCTTACCAGAAATGTTTTGTTCTCCTTTCCATTTATTCGCACCGCGACGTAGTTAGATTAGGCTACGAAAAACTTTAGAACTCTAATTATATATATAATTTGGTTTCTAACACTTTTTAATGAGATTTTCAAATTCACACCCATTCATTTCATTTCTCTAACGTCTATTTCATAAGATATGACCAAGATTTCATGTCGGAAAAAAATTGGTTTCAAAACATGGTATAAAACTACGTATATTTCAGTTTCATCAAATGTGCATATGATTCACGGAAAGGGTAAGAGTAACTCTAATAAATGACCTGAGATGATTTGTATGTGTAGGGTACGTAGATGTAACATCAATTTTGGTAGATTTTTTTTGGAATTTGAGTGGGACCAATTTGGGAAAATGGGTAGCCAAAATGCAAATATCAAATATGTAGGGGGGGAGGGGGGGGGGGGGGGGGGGGGGA